GCTGGAAGTGGAACTGTGATTCAAATGGCAGAGCACCAGCAAAATAGCTAAACAAGAGTTTAAGTCCCTGAATTCAAGTCCCATTACTGGCACACATGCACACGCTTGCACACACACACACACACACACACACACATGCATGCACACAAAATGTAGAGTGTCTATCCTAAATTGACAAGTGGAATTAGCAAAATGCATGAATCAGCCCTAAGATGAAACAAAATTGAGATTTAATGGGTATAATTTTAGCAGCAGGAAAGAGCTCTAATAACATTCTATCAGACCTTTGCTAGAGTTCTTTGTCATTTTACTTTAAGTACAGCATCCACAGTTATTCACAATCCATTCCATGAATCAGAATCCAATTATTTTATATTGGCTTCATACTTTTACCCAAGAGAGATCCATAAATTGTTTTTAATCACTTCTTTTATTTTAAGTCAATAGTGTCTGCCAAGTGGGTAACAATTCACATTAAAGCATTGCCTCCCATAATTGGTATAATTACTTCATAAAAAGATAAACAGCAGTGGGATTGGACAACCTCTGGGTTTATAAAATCTAATTATGTTCACAACACAATATTTCATTTTTACTGATCTCAGAAAGAACATAAAGTTGAACAAAGCCCCAATGTCTGTGATACAATTGGAGAGAAGCAAGGTAACCATTTGTGTAACATGCTGCCTCTGTTAATAGCCTTTAATAGGAAGTCCCTTTCCCCAAGTCATTCAGGATGCAGGGAAGTTTGTGGGAGTGTTCTCCATAGCCTGTGTGGGAAGCCTTGTGGCTGGGTGAATAGTGAGGCTCCATCCTGAGGCACAAGCTTCTCCAGGTTGCTCCAGGACCCTGAACTGCCCAGGATGGGAAAGTTACCCAGCCCTGGCTCTTCAGGTTGCTTTAGAGGCAGCTACAGAGCAGAGAGAGGAGGAAAGACTGATACATTATCTCCAGCTCTTTTCAGTGCAAGATATGTCCTTATCGGCTTTGCATTTTGGTATTCTTCAATGGGTTATATTTAGGGAAAGGAGACAAATTGCTTAAATTCATTCATGCTTAAATCTCTGCCCTATGCCACAGTCATGTGTTATCTCTTTGTCAAAAAGAAGATGCTAAATGATATCAGACAAGAACCTAGAGATAGGCCGGGCGCCAGTGGCTTACGCCTGTAATCCTAGCTACTCAGGAGGCTGAGATCTGAGGATCACGGTTCAAAGCCAGCCCGAGCAGCAAAGTCCATGAGACTCTTATCTACCATTAACCACCAGAAAACCGGCAGTGGTGCTGTGGCTCAAGTGGCAGAGTGCTCACCTTGAGCTGAAGAGCTGAAGGATAGCACCCAAGCCGAGTTCAAGCCCAATGACTGCCAAAAAAAAAAAAAAAAAAGAACCTAGAGGATGCACTAGAAGTGCCTGACAGAAACTGGTGTCACCAAGAGCCACATTCCAATAGTCAGAAACCTTCTTGTATCTTCCATATCATTCCTAACTCTGGTTAAAGAATATCTTAATCTAAACAAAGAAAAAGCACACATGCAAACACACTCCAGGAATCTTCCCATCCCCAGACTCCACTCCATGTGTGCCTTCCTCGTTGCTTCTGTGTTAGAAAGGGAGTAAAGGGGGAGAAAGGTACTTGGGCCAGAAGAAACTGGCTTTGATGCTGTTCAGACAATGATTCTCCATCTTCTTTATTAACCTACTTTCTTGTTTGCATTTCTCTCCCCTTCCTCTTTCCCAGTGAGACTTTGAAAGGCTTTCTTTTCTTCTCTTCCTTTTGCATAGCCCACACCAAAAAAGGACATACATAATTAGGTATTAGTGACTCAAAGAAGAAAAAGTTAATGAAAGGTACAAGAGTAAGATGAGAGATGAAAAGACACACACTTGTTTCCTGAATCCAGGAAATTCTGGCTGAAGGCGGCACCAATGGGAGGGGAGATGCGTAAGGGGCTAAGGGCAACTTACACAGGAGGGGAGAACAAGACTTTTGTGTGGAAGGGACCTAGAGTGGCGAGCTGATTTTTCACTTGCTGGCTCTTCCCTACCTTTCAGATGGCAATGCCACTGTCACTTCCAGGGAGAGATCCCTCCTGACCATCCATTACTGTAATGTGGCCTCCTTCTTGCTCTCTCCCACACTACACCATCTTGGTTCTTCACATCATGCTTATTATTACCTGGCATTTTCCTTTAGTTTTTCTCCTTTCCATCCCATCACCAGCCCTTCTCCACACACACAAAAATGCAGGCTTTTGAGGATACTAACTCATCCTTAGATGAGTTAGAATATGATCCTCAAGACTTCAGTGGATTGACTGGTTTTATTAGCATCCATACCTTTCCAAGTGCCTTGTGCATAATAGGGGTATTGATAGTTGAACGAATCCTTGTTAAATGAAAGACCTGCAGACAGAACACCCTTGTATCTTTGCAAGATTGCTTTGTGTTAAAGAAATAAAGCATTTGGACATTTCCCTAAGAACTGGGAGCAGTGGCAAAGTCCCTTGCCCACACTGTAGACACTGGTTCACCTTCTGGTCCATTAGGACCAAAAGGGCCAATGGGAATGGAATTAAAAATGTAATCAAAAGCATCTTTTGTGTGATGAGGGGTGATGGGCTAGGAAAGCACCTTACAATGAGAAGATGGGTGGTGGTTGGGGGTGGGGGAGGGCAAGAGGAAGTTCTCAAGGAGAAACTGCACTGAACGCATTTATAGAGGGTAGAATAATGCTGTCACCTTTAAGCTGGGCCACAGCTCTTTAGTTGTGGGCTAGATTACAATCATATTCTTTACCTGTTACTGATGGTCTTCTTCAGGTTGTCAAGTAGTACTGCTGTATCTTAAGTTTGATTATTTTGGTCTCAAATACTACCTGACTTGGCTTCATTAGGATTCTTGTCCTTTTAGAGAAAAATAAGGTGACTGCTTTGATGATTTATAAGTCAGATTGTTGAGTACTAATATCTCACTAAGTGATATGAAATATACTCTATAAGAATATGAAATCTATAGTAAATACATACACTTCTAGGGTAAACATTAATATTCCACACCAGGGTGAGCTGTTTTTTTGGTTTTGGTTTTTGTTTTTGTTTTTGTCGGTTGTGGGTCTTGAACTCTGGGCTTGGCACTGTCCCTGCGTTCTTCAGCTCAAGACAAGAGCTTTACTGCTGAGCCACAGTGCCACTTCTGGTTTTCTAGTGGTTTATTGGAGATAAGAGTCTAACGGACTTTCCAGCCCGGGCTGGGTTTGAACCGCGATCCTCAGATCTCAGCCTCCTGAGTAGCTAGGATTACAGACGTGAGCCACAGGCGCCCGGTTCTGTTTGTTTGTTTGTTTTTACACTGTGAATAGTAGTGATCCATTTGGAGCAGAATCGTGTGAGAGGATGAGTTCAATAGTAACAAGGTATACAGAGATCAAGTCATGATGACTGGAGGAGATGCAGGGCATAGGGCAATGGCAAGTGTGTCAAGGGCTTACCATTTCAGATTTTAATAATACTTTTCTGATATACCCAATATATAATTGATTTAAGATAAACACAAGTTGTATCTTGTTGAGACCTACTAATGGATTCTGCACAGTGTAAGTAATATACCAACACTGCCATAGGAGAAAGTAACTTCCAAGCTCCATACACCATTTTGTTTTATACATTTTTAGTTTGAAACACACTGAAGAAAGACCAAATCTTCATTACCTAATTTATGTGTTTTAAATGCTCTATTATGTCTATCTTTTATTTATTCTGTTATGATGGACTCCATTTTATTTACAAAAAAGTATTCAATAAGTGATAAAATGTAAATTAATCTTGCCTTTCCTTTTGCAAGCAAATATTAATGCTCTGTGTGTGTGTGTGTGTGTGTGTGTGTGTGTGTGTGTGTGTGTGTGTGTGTGTGTGTGTGTGTGTTGGTAGTGGGACTTAAACTCAGGGCCTCACTCTCTTCCTTAGCTTTTTCCCTCAAAGCTGTTACTTGAGCCACATCTCTTCTTCCAGCTTTTATCTGCTTGATTGGAGATAGGAGTCTCCAGGCCTTTACTTCCTGGTCTAGCTTCAAACTGTGACCCCCAGATTTCAGCCTCCTGGAAGCTATGATTTAGAGGTGCTTCTGGCACCTGGCCAAATATTAATGTTTTGATTTTTTTGGGGGGGGGTCTGGTCGTGGGGCCTGAACTCTGGGCCTGGGTGCTGTCCCTCAGCTCTTCAGCTCAAGGCTAGTACTCTACCACTTGAGCCACAGCACCACTTCTGGCTTTTTTCTTTTTGCGTATGTGATGCTGAGGAATCGAACCCAGGGTCTCTGGCATGCAAGGCAAGTGCTCTACCACTGAGCCACCTTCCCAGCCCAATGTTTTGATTTTTTAAAAGTATTTTACTACCATCAATTTTGTCTTATTTGTCTTTTACAGAACAGACAGCTGTTCTGTACCTTGCAAGGAAGGAAATATTCAGAGGAAATGGTTGATGTTTTAAAAATATATTGGAGATACTCAGGGAGGTTGAGACCTGAGGATCACAGTTTGAAGCCAGCTCAGGCAGGAATGTTTGTAAGACTCTTATCTCAAATTAACTATCAAAAAGACTAAAGTGGAGCTGTGGCTCAAGTGGTAGTATGCTAGTCTTAAGTAAAAAAGCTCAATGACAGTGCCCAGGCCCAGAGTTCAAGCCTCAAGACTGATAACCCTCCCAAACCCAAAATTCCATTGGGATCTTTAATAATGCCAGTGTGTGTGTGTGTGTGTGTGTGTGTGTGTGTGTGCGCGCGCGCACGTGTGCCCGCGCGCATACACGAGCACGTGTGTGTCTCCAGAAGCATGTTCTACCTTGGGACTTCCTAGGCAGAATTACAGTTTTAATGAGGGATAATCGACTTCTGAATGCCTGGCAGTGATGGTCTATGGTTGATAGTGACTACCACAGCTCTATTTTTTCAGAAGTGACATCATATTGAAGTGCCTTTCCAAAATATTTTGTGGAAAATAAGAGCTGATGGATGGCGGCTCCTCATTCATGATGCCTAAACAGGAGACAAATTCATCAGGCAGGAGGGTCTGTTCTGGAACAGTTTCACTGGGTGAGTCCTTTTCCAAAAACCTGCTGGCTTCTCCTTCTGTTGAGTCTTGCATGTCAGGAGTAAGGCAATCACCTTGATTGAAAAGGAGGCTCAGTTCTTCCAGAATTAGTGTGTTGTTTAGGGGAGTCATAGTTGAGACTGGAAAGGCAAAGGGAAGATACTCTTTTGACTTGCCATTCTTTTCCAGGTCTAAGGAATCAACTGGTGGTTTGTGGACTAAAGAATCTACTTCATCACTGTTGCTGAGATGGTTTCCCCCATGGGCAAAAAGTGAACCCTGGGGTTTGTATCCAGTGTTTAGATCAGGAATATACACAACTGTAGGGTTTGTGACTAGAGGCCCGTGTTGCAGGATGTCTCTTTTCTCCAGCGCTCCTGTCTCCCTTTCCTTCTTGTCATCTGTGCACTTGTGTTCTGGAAGAAAGATTTCTCTAATCTCTGTAATCACAGGATCAACATAAAGGATTTGTTCACTGGCATAATTATTCATACATTCACTTTTTTCCTAAGGGGAAAGAAAAACAGGACATTGTTTCATTTTACAAAAGCTATCTCAAGAATCCAATTGGATAATAGAAAAAACACTGGAATTTTCTCCCCCACTTTCCTTTCCCCCTCCCTTTTCTCACATTGTTTATCTTCCCAAATGATTTCCACCTTTTGTCTTTTGTTAATTTACTGGCTTCCAAAATCTTTATTAAATTCCCCCAAGAGGAGACTGAAGGAAAAGAACAATAAAAATAAGCACATTTCCTGGTTCAAAAGTTTTCAAGAGAAAGAAGAATCTTACATTATTAACTTGAGTATAATTTCACAGCCTTTTAATTGCTGAGATTTAGAACACATGGAATTTTCTTTTCTTTTCTCAGTGAAAGTAATGAGAATCAAACTCATGTAGGGGGATGGTGGGGAGGATGAACTGCCACTTTAGCCATGCTCCAGCCCTGAAATTTTTTGTTAATATCACAGATCCTTACTACAGAAAATACTTTGTGGCATAACTAGAAAAAGGGGGAGAGGTTTCTATGTTGTTTACATATTGAGAGTGAGATTGTGATACACACTTTGTGCTGAGACTCTAGAGGAGGACGGAGGACGACTGTGCATAATTCAGACATGTCTGTGATGTCAGAAGGGTGGAAAGGCTTAACTTGTTGACTTTTCTGTGCATAATTGGACTTGAGGCCTTTCAGCTGATGGCTAGCCTCCCAGACCAAATAACTCCCAGCTATAGCCAGCTAATTATATAAATATATATAGAAAAAGATAGATAGATAGATAGATAGATAGATAGATAGATAGATAGATAGATAGATAGATAGATAGATAGATAGGTAATGTTTCTGTTTTCATCATTATTAGACTTCATGCATTCTTGGTACCAATTGCTAATCAGTCTTTTTCTTTTCTTTTTGATACAGGGCCTTGATATGTGGACCAACCTGGCCTTGAACTTGTAATGCTCCTGCCTTACATCTCCTGAATACTGTTTTCTTTTCTTTTCTTTCTCTATCTTTTTTTTTTTTTGTGCCAGTTCTGGGGCTTAAATGCAGGGCCCAGGCACTGTCCCTGAGCCTCTGTGTGCTCAAGGCTAGCCACAGCACCACTTCTGGCTTTTTCTCCTTATGTGGTACTAAGGAATCAAACCCAGGGCTTCATGCCTGCTAAGCCAGCATTCTACCTACCATTAAGCCACATTCCCAACCCCTGAGTACTGTTTTGTTTGCTGGTGTTTGCTTACCTGTAGCATTTTCACAACATTGCTGTTTTCCAGATTAGGAATATCTTCATGAAGCCACTTTGGTATTAGCGGTAAAATTTTTCTCTTAATTCTAAAAAAACAAATAATACATGAGAAAGATTTTAGGGGTGGTACACTTGGCTCTAAAAGATTAGTTAGTTAACTAGAGTGGAATGAACAATAAAAATTGATACAAGAGTTAAGATTTCTGTGTCTTATTTAAAGTAAGTTAAGTCAGAAGGAGCATGCAAACCTACATTCCACCCTACATTCAGGAAAAGTGAGAGAAGCTCAGCCATGTTAAATATGGCAACCCACTATGAGCAGAAGACACCAGCGGTGAAAAGTAGAAAAAATTATGGGATGTTCTGTTTCCAAGGAAACCTTAACTACTAGATATTGAAGAAGAGACTTACATAATCAAACCCTGTAATTCAAGCTCCTTTCATTCTGAATTTTTCCAAATAGGGTTGTGATGGTAACGATGTCTCCATACTTTATTTGGGTGGCAGAGGAGTCTGGGGAACAGCTTGTGGGAAACTTGTAAGACTGGGCTTATATGGATCACTAAAGTGAGATGACAGAGAAAACTGGACAAATCCCACTTCCTCCCCCACAGCTACTCCTGGCTGCTGCCATATATGGGGATTTTGTTGTTATTGGTGGTGTTTTCTTGTGTGTGTGTGTGTGTGTGTGTGTGTGTGTGTGTGTGTGTGTGTGTTGCTGGTCCTGAGGCTTGAACTCAGGGCCTGGGCACTGTCCCTGAACTTTAGTGCTCAAGGCTAATCCTCTACCATTTTCAGCCACAGCTCCACATTCAGCTTTTGGTGGTTAATTGGAGATAAGAATTTCATAGGCTTTCCTGCCTGGGCTGATTTTGAACCACAATCCTCAGATCTCAGCCTCATGAGAAGCTAGGATTACAAGAGTGAGCCACCGGCGCCTGGCTCTGCCATTTATTTAAAAGCAGTTTGCACACTCTGACAGTATAAATTGATTTGGGAGAAGTTGTACGGCACATAGAAGAGGCTAACCTGTATTCAGGCAGTTTTATGTTTTACAAGGCTGTGGACAACAGGTAAGACCTGCTCATTTAAGCAGAGTCTCAAGCATATTTATTAAGTAACAATCAAAATGGCTGAATGAATTTCTCAAGTTTAATTTGACCTTAGTCTTAGGGTAAAATGATTTCAATATATATTTACACATTGTTTTATGATATAGTTCCTGGTATTGTGATGAAGTTTTCATATAGCATGCTGATTCTGTGAGAATATATATTTTTTAATATTTACCCATTCTTGCTTCATTGTATCTCGAATATTTTACTTTTGTTATATAGCTCTGTTTCTGATGTAAACTTTTATAAAAGATGGTATATTAGATGCACAGTAGATATATTATATACATTAGATAATAGTATCTACTTATATATTAAAATAGCTATAACAATTAATTCTTTTATCCTTTTAGAAAGACTCATTTAAATAATTAAATTAGCCTAGAATTATTGTGTTTCCTTAAATCCAAATTGAAGTGTGATTTGTCCTTTCAGTATTTAAAACAGTTCAAATTTTTCCTTACTGATAGATGTTCTCTTAATTATTATTATCATTTTATGTTTTCTTTAGAATAGATAGGTTTTAGTGGGTGCTAGTGGCTCATACTGTAATTCTAGTTATTTGGGAGGCAAAGATTTGAGAAACTTGGTTTTAAGCCAGCCTGGGCAGGAAAGTCTGTTAGACTCTTATCTCCAAGTAACCACCAAAAAGAGTGGAGCAGTGGTTCAAGTGGTAGAGCCTTGAGCAAAAAGAAGCTAATGGATAGTGCCCAGGCTTTGAGTTCAAGTCCCAGGACCTGCACAAAAGAAGCAAAAAACAAAAAACATAATGTCATTTGAAATTACAAATGAGGACACTTGTCTAATAACATAAACATGAATGTTTTTATGAGAAACTGTTTTGATTTCAAGGATCTTTTTTTATCCACTTATTTATTTTTCAATTTAATTTAATTTATTTTTGTGTTGATACTGGGGCTTGAACTCAGGGACTGCACACATTATCCCTTAGCTTTTCTCCCTCCAGGCTGGCACTCTGCCACTTGAGCCATAGCTCTACTTCCTGCTTTTCGGTGGTTAGAGATAAGACTCTCCCAGACTTTCTTGCCCAGCATGGCTTCAAAACTTGATCTTGATTTGGAGGAAGATGGCAGAGGAGAAACTAGAGGCTAAACAAGCTCTGCATAAAAAGCAGTTTTAGTGTTCCAGTGAACAGTCCTAGGCTAGAGAATCACACCAAATGTGCCATCACGGTACAGAGAATTTTGCCAGAGAGGAAAACATCAGGCAGCTTGGTCAAAGAGACAGATCTGAGCACTTGCTGGTGTCCATGGCGGAGGTGGCAGCTGCTGCCACAGCTGCCATATCAACAGAGAGACCCTGGGACAAAGACACCAGATGCAGTGTGCGAGTGGATTCTACTCACCACCAGCAAGAACTGACATGGAGCAGACATCTTTATCCTGCTGATTGCAGACCAGGGATGGCCCAGAAACCAAGAGGCTGGAGTGAGTACACCCCAACACATCCTCACTCCTTCACACTGTGCAGTGGTGGGAAGGTAGCCCCTCCCCCACCACTGGAGAAGAACTCCATCTTTGATACTGACAAAGGCCCAGCTCCAGCAGCTAGCTCCACCTCAGGCCTTGGAAGAAAATAATAGGAGCCATTCAGCAGGTCACAGGAACTTAACCTGACCTGCCAGGCTCAGCTCTAGCCAGGGAAAAGTCATTCTTCCCAGGCAGAGGAATCCCTGCCCCCGGAGGAGTGACTTTCTTCCCTGGGTAAACTGAGCCAGAGGCTGCCCCTCCCCACTGCAGCCTAGATAGCAGGAGGGGTAAAAGACAAACAATTGAAACTCAGTAAACATAAACCCTGAGAATGGCTCCAGGCTGGGTTCTGTGAGTGTCTCAGGAGAAAAGCTACTGATTGCTAATAGGCCTCAACCCTACTCAGAACCTAGATACATCACAACAACTCCAATCTAGAGGAAACAGCCATCTTCTCTTTTGTGAAACTCAAAGCAGATCTCCTTCCCACTGACTGAACTAGCCTGGAAAGAGGATCACAAAATTCTGGGTAAGGCAGAGCATTTTCCTGCCTACTCAAACAAACTGACTTAAACCAATGAAGCCACAGGAAAACCAAACACCACAAGCAAACCAGAGACTCAACTAAGAGACTGGTTATGGACACAGGGGAGATACAAGATTTCCCCCCCCAAAAAAAAAATCAAATAACTCATTTTTCTACCTAATTGTTTTTTAATTTTTTAAAAAATTGTCTTCTGTATTTTTCTTTCATAATTTTTACTTTAGGTGTGTGTGTGTGTGTGTGTGTGTGTGTGTGTGTGTGTGTGTGTGAGAGAGAGAGAGAGAGAGAGAGAGAGAGAGAGAGAGAGAGAGAGAGAGTGTGAGAGAGAGAGAGAGTGTTTATTTTTTGGCTTTTAAAAAATCTCATTTAAACTTTTGGTCCTTTTTTTTTGCATGATTTAATTGCTGTTCTGTTCGTCCCCAGATATATACCCATTGTCAAGTTCTAGACCTTATCCTTCTTGTGTACATACTTAATTCAGAAATTGATTACTCAATTCACAACCTCCTAGGCTTAATTTTTTAATAGTATTATTATTTCTTTATACTTATAATTTTTAAGTATTCCATTTTTAAACTTTTTATTTTCTATTTTTTCATTTTTCCTTTTTATCTATCTCCTCCTCTCATCCTATCCTTTTCTTCTATCAGTATTATTTATTTATGCTTACATAATTTTAAGTGTTTCATTTTTTAAATTTAAGTTTTTGTTTTTTCATTTTTTCTTGTTTCTTTATCTCTCTCCTTTCATTCTGTTCTATCCATTTCCTCTCAGAGATTAGGACTTGGTTAAATTCACTCTCCTTTTACCTCTTCACATCACTCTAATTCTATTTTCCCCCACAATTCTCCTTAAACCTATTAATTTCTGGTTTGCTGAATCCATCTTTGATATTCTTAGCCCATTAGTCCAGAGTTGTTTGATGTTGAATAGACTGTATCTGGTGAACTAGATTGTATCTGAAGCCATTTTGACTGTGCCACTACAGGACTCTGGTTGATGCTTGCCTTAAAATAGCACAAAATTGGTGTTACTTTCATGCCAAATGGGCAGAACAAGCCAGAGAAACACAAAAAAAAGGCAAGTCCAGGTATCTCAACTCCCACTCATGATAATCAGGAGACAGAACAGCTAATGAATAATCCAGAGGAGAGTTCCCAAAAAGCTCTACAGACACTACTGGCAAACATAGTGAATGAAAAGATTGAAAGCCTGCAAAGGACCCAGTGTGAGCATGATAGGGAGCAAGAGAAGGCTAACCAAAGATAAATACAGAAATTTCACAAGCATGATGAGGCTAACCAAAAATTAATACAGGAATCTGGTGAGCATGAGGGAGCTAATCAAAGATTAATACAGGAATTTCATGAGCAGGCTAAGAACAGTCAAAGAGTAATACAGGAAATGCGTGAGCAGGCTGAGAACAGTCAAAGAGAAGTTACAGGAATGGCATGAGTGTGAGGAAGCTAATCAAAGAGTAGTACAGGAATTGTGTGAGCAGGATGAGACTAGACAAAGATCAATAGAAGCATTCATGGAATCCATAAACAGATAGCTGAATGAATCCAGGGAGACCACAAAGGGAATGCTGAATGGAGCCCATCAGAAGGAAAGGGAGTCAA